CTCAGACAATTGCTAGAAGCACAACTCAGCATTCACTGTCCCCGATGCCTATCCCTCACTTGACTTCATGGCTGCCTGTTTATTTGGGTGATTTCTTTCCTCAATTTGTAGACCCTAGGATTGGCCGACCTGTTGACTGGCTTTACAGAGGCCTGACTCTGAAGTGAATGTTCTTGAAAGCTGGCTACTGCCGAGCTCTCAGTGAAATCTGTGGGTGTCCTGAGTGCCTGGGCAGTGAGAAGAAGCCATATGTGTGAGCCAGCACTGTCCACGTTTGGCTCTGACTCTCCCTGCCTGTGCCCAGGAGCCACAGGGCACCACGTGGCAGCAGTAGTATGGGGATGTGTGAGAGATCTTTGTTCTTGAGGCATGCGGGATCTGGGTGAAATTCCAGACCCAGGAAAGAGGGTGAGACATCTGCCGAGGAAGTTCCCTGGTCACTGGGGCTATTGTGTGCAGGACATAGTCTTACTCCTGCTTTGCCCACTCCTGGTTCGGCAGGAATGCTGTGCGTGGGCGAACCTGGCCCAGGCAGCCCACGTGTTCCCGCGTCCTGATGCGCCACTGGCTGTGTGCTCGCAATGGGGTGGGGAGAAGGCAGTTCTTGTTCAGGAATCTATAGCTTTTACTACTTGTCACTTTTAATGACCAAGAAAAAGTATTTCTCACTGTTGTGCAATTAGTTATTTTTTTTTAGGGTGATCGATGTCTCTTGCCTAACTGCCACACTCTCCTCTTTTAAAGGCTCAAAATTCCCTGATTTTCCCATAAAGAAATTCTGCTGTGGGTATTTTCTGTTTCTCCCGTTCACCTCTTTACCCCATTTCACCCACACAACGTCGAACCCATCTTGCCTCTAGGAAATGTTTAAGTCCACGCTGTGGAGACAGTGGTGAGGATTCAGGGCCATGTGAGTTCCATTTACCAGCTTCTGTCCACTGTTGCGGGGCATCTGCTGGTTAGGCCATGGCCATGGTGCTGGCCACATTGATTTGGAAACCCCATTACAATGATGGAAAGATCCCAGATCTTGCTGCTTTCACAGTGACCACATATGTGGCTTTTGCTCCTGCATTAATGCTAAGCAGCTGCAGCAAACATGTCTGCAAAGAAGCCAGCTCTGCAGATGGTGAGGGGACTCTGAGACAAGCCACCTTGAAGATGGACAATGTGATGAACCCACCAATGTCCAGAGCTAGTCACAGCACCTGTTAGCAGAAAGTGAGCAGCAGATCTGGGGAAATGTCTCCTTAACATAGCCTGAGGACTGCCCCCTCCCAGAAGCTGGAAGAGGCAAGAAAGGTCCCTCCTCTAGAGCCTCTGCAGGAAGCACAGCCCTGCCGACATTTGATGTTTGGACTTCCAGCCTCAAGAACCACGAGAGAATAAATGTGCACTGTTTTGTGGCATCCAGCTTGTGGCCATTTGTTATATCAGCCCTAGGAAACTAATGCAAATAGTAAGCCCCATTGTCTAGGAAAATTGAATCAGACCAACCAATACTAAGATGTGTTGATAATGCTATAGAACTTGGTGGCTAAGGAAAGAATTCTTCAGATGTCCAAGGAAGAAAAGAAAATCACTTGTAATGTGGAAAACTAAGATGCACCTCAGATGTCTCCACAAATACTCAGTTTGAAAGACGCTGGAGAAATATCTATAACGTGTTGAGGGGAAAAAATATGACCCAACTGTATAAACCCAGGCACATCCTTCTTCAAGCGTCAAGGCCACGGCACCACCTTGCAGTACAAAGCCTGGCCATCAGAGAGCTTCGAGAAGCAGCAGTGGGTCAGGCTGGTGGGACTCGGTGAACCTGTCTCTTATAGGGTGACTTAAGCTACTGTGGGAAATAGTCACTTGAGAATACATAAACAACAGCGTAACCTGCTGAGAGGCTGTGGGGACAGAGATTCATGGTGACTTATATACACTCACCACCTCATCTTCCTAAATGGAAGGACAATACCAATAGACAATGGGTAAAAAATGTAGGCAGGTTGGTGAAAAAGAAGGGTTAAAATGCATTATGTAAAATATTAAAACATTGTATCATAAAAGTAAAAATAATATTATAATTTAACACTTTTTCCTATCTCTCCCTATCCTAGAGCACCCTCTTCTCCTTCCCAACACCTCGATTTTATAAAAATGTGCTAATTCTGTCAGATTTCAGAGTGGGGAGCCCACAAATAGCATTCTAAGTTGCTAATTTAAGGGACAAGGTCAAAGGGTAATGTCTAGAGATATAAAGAAAATGAATAATTTAAAAATAGTTATAAAGCTTGCAAAGCACCAGAAGAATTCTTACAGTAACAAAGTCTATATAGTAAAGATTTATAAAATGAAGTAAGAAAACGTTAAAATGGAAAATGTAACATAAGAACTGATAGGATTAGGAAAAATGTATATGACTGCTGTAAATGGGATAAACTCGACTCTTAAAAGAATTTAAGTTGGGAAATTTATAAACAACATCCCAGAGATTCTGATATGCCTACCCCCATTGAGAATTATGTGGTAAGCTCCTGATAACTTAGTATTTAGTATTTAAGAGTAGAAAAAGAGAGAACCCTGCCCCACAGAAGTATCTGGCACAGCCAGACTGACCTACAGACAGATCTCCACCTATTTTGAACTGTTATTGACTGTTCAATAAATATGAGGATTTTTCAGCATCCACCAATTCCTCTCCAGTAAAATCCAAGTAAATGCAGATTTATTTGGTGCCACTTAACACATTTTTGAGAAATTCAGATCCAGTCTAATCTAATTCAATCCAAGTTGTGGTTTGAGGACCCGGGGCTGTTGAGCATCAAACATTTGGATGGAGAACCAGAATACATAGGTGTGTGTATATACATAACACACACTTATATACACGTGTGTGTATATACATAACACACGCACACACACACACGTGTATATACACACACTTAAATTCTATCTGAAATCAGTCCAAATATCTCTGTTGGGGAGCATGATCTTGCACATTATCTAGGAACCACATGTTAGTGAATGGAAATTAAGGGCAGGGAATTCATTTGCTAAACGGAAGTGTATACAGTGACATTTAGAGTCTCTTTGTTTAATATGTTCCTGCCACTGTTTTGGATTCACTTCAAGTCCCAGTCCCCAAATCCATTTCTCTGCCATTCCTACAGAGTTTTCATCAACACGACCTTCAGTGGTGGGGAGGGAATTCTCTAAAGTCACATAGTAGATTTTGTCTTAAGAAAACAGGGGTGTCACTGTTTGTCAGACCCACAGCCACCAGCAGATGCTCCCACGACAATTTATTCATTACCCTTCAGTATTTCTGCAGCCTCCTGTCGGGGAAAAACCATCACACTTAGTAGACTGGGGAAGCAGGAACCTGACATGGTTTTTGTCAATAGCCCAGAAGCAGTGTCTCAGCAGAACCTGCACACCTCAGAGTTATTCACAGACTATGTTTCTCTTACTTTTGTATTCTCTCCTGAATATCTATTATCTTTGCACCAAGGGCAAAGTTAGCATCTTTGATTTTACCTTTCAGAATAATTTAGTTGTTCATTCAACAAATCTTTAAGTGCCTACGATGTGCCTGGCCCTGTTCTAGGCAAAGAGACAGAGCCGTGAAGAAATTAGCAACAATTCCAGCCATAGTGAGCTTTCACAGTCTTGGGCGAAAGGCCAACAAGAACTTACGCATGGCTCACGTAGCCTGGGACGTGGCTGGGTTGGTGAAGAGAATGCATCTGGGGTCATACTCTCTGGATTCGAGCCTCAGCTCTGCCACTTACCATCTAATAACCAGGCAGGCCAGCCTCTGCAACTTAGTTTCCTCATCTATGAAGTGGGGGTGATGATAATGCCACCTGTTTAAACACACTAGTTTAAACACACTAGTATATATATGAAGCACATACAAGAGCACCTGGCACATAGTAGGTGCAGTTCAATGCCTGCTGTTGCTGGTATCATGCTAGAGGTGATGAGTGTTCTGGGAACAAGGAAAGAGGTGGTGCCAGCAGGGGACTGGGAATGGCAGTTCAAAAGGGGTGGTCAGGGTCAGCCTCACTGCGAAGGTAGAGTAGAACAAAGCCTGGAAGTGATGGATGTGCCCCGTGGTGACACGGTATCCTGGGGAAGAGTGGTCCTTACCAGCAAAGGTGGCCAGCAGGAGGGCCCAGAGTCAAGGGCACATCTGTAGTGTTCACTGGCAATCAGCATGGCTTGGACAGAGTAAGCCAAAGGGTGCTGGGAGGAGCAAGGTCAGGGAAACAGGCAACCGACTTGGTAGACATCGCAAGGACTCTGAGAGACACCTGCGGCAGGAGTTCCCAGGTGCTGTGCAGGGAGGTGAGGGGATGTCACCTGCCTGGAGGAGGCTGAGAGGCACCCTGGGGCGGGGATGCCACATTGGAGCTGGTTTTCCAAGCGAGGTTTGGAAAGGCAAGAAGAAGGGTGTTCCCAGCCAGGGGATAAACCCAGCCGGAAGCCCAGAGGTGAGATGGGGCTTGGCTGTGTTATCCAGGACCCGTGGCTTCAAGGGGAAAGCCCAGTTACTGAACAGAATTTATTTTCTTTTAAGGTACGGCTGTATCTTAGGCAAAACTGTTTCACCTTCCCGGCTGCAAGCTTCTTTGTGGGCTGTGTTCAGATTTCAATTTTAAAACAGCTTTTTTGTCCCCTCGTCAGTATAACTGTTTTTCCAACTGGTAAATTGTTCTCGTACTTAGTTTCATCAAAAAATTACTCAAGAGGGCCGGCCCGGTGGCGCACTGCTACAGTGCGCCACTTGGGAGCACAGCGGCGCTCCCACCGAGGGTTCGGATCCCACAAACAGACCGGTTCCCACTCACTGGCTGAGCGAGGTGCGAGCGCAACGCCGAGGGTTGCGATCCCGTTGCCGGACACGAAAAAAGACAAAAAGGAAAAAAAAAATTACTCAAGAGTATTGCCTTAGTCAAATGACCTGATGCTTTCTATTTTTTCTCCTTAAAAAAAAATAAAAGCTGCAGATTCTCGTTGACACTGGAAGCAGTAACTTCGCCGTGGCAGGAGCCCCGCATTCCTACATAGATTCATACTTTGACGCGGAGCGGTAAGTGGTGGATCTGCAACTGGCATGGCTGGGTTTGGGGGCATCACGTGTGTGGGCATACTTCAAAATACACTAGAACAAAGCAGACAGAAGGCCATTCCTTATAAGGGGGCTGTGTGTATGTACTTATTTGCATGTGTATGTATGCGTACGTGTGCATGCAGGTGTGTATATGCATGTAAACGCATGTACATATATATATTTCATTCCCGGGGAATCCATAACAGGATCCTCCTAATTGCCTTGGTGCATTCACCTGGGATTGGCTTTATAGGAATTCATCTAGGGCACAACTTTCGCTGTTATGCCTGACTTGCAGGCACACATGGGTCTCTGGAATAGAGCAGGCTCTGCCCAGTGTGGCCCCCGAGGAGCCCTTAATGGGGCTGCAGGTAGGGTCCCCAGTGGCCTTGCGTCAGCATTCAGCTCTCAGGGAACTGCTGGGGTGTGGAGTCATAACCTCCTGGTAACCTGAAGCTGCTCTAATGCTGTGCACGTTTTGATTTCAAATCTATCTTTGTGACCCTAAAACTTCAACTCAATAGACAAAACAGGCAAGCTGCTATGTCGTGGTTTGCTTTTCAGTGTCATGATCCATCTACAAACTCAGATCGGCCTCATGGGATTTCCCTACTGTAAACCCTTTTTATGTCTCCCCTTGCTCTCTTTCCTGATCCAGTCTTTTGTTCCAGGGAATAAAGGGGGGCTTTAGCTGGGGAGAAAGAGGTGGGGGAAATAATAGCTGGCAGGCTTCTGAAAATGCTGGGCAATCAATAAGACAAGATGGCATGCCATGAGTGACATAAATCATAGAGGAATCCCACCCAGGTGTCTCCTACCTGCACTGCAACTTGAGCTCAACTTTGGTGGCATGAGTGACATGGTCTCCTCGATGTACATCTGCAGCCACTTGCTGAGGACGGGACTGGTGGCCAGTGCTATATGGGGCCTCATGGTGCAACAAAAATATATGGTTGGCCCCTCCTTAAGGAATCCATAGCTTAGTTTATGATTCCATGCATTGATAAGCTTTCGTTGTTGATATTCCAGAATGCAACACCTGGCCAGTGATTGCTTTGTGACCGAGCAGATCAATATGAGTCCAGAAGCTGCTGCTGTAACTACAACATCTGCGTAGAAGTGCAGGTGGTGTTTCTCCATTTCTCTGCAAGAGAGGGCCAGGTTATGATGGTTTATGCTGCCCTTTCCCATTCAGTTGGTGATTCATCCAAACCCTCTGCCCCCAAACAGCCCCCTACCTCCAGTTGCTCACTCTGGACTCCCTCATCATGCGACAGGAATTCAAGGGGTCCAAACCTCTTATTTTTATTCATGCAGCATGGCAGGTCAGGAAAAGGAGGACTTCCCCAAATTCAAGCTTCTAGACCAGCAGCTCCCAAACCTGCAGCTCAACACCCCCTTTTTATAACCAGTGCTTTGTAATGCTCTGAAATGAATTCAAAGGTAACATAACTTACCTGCATATATAACTCTAAATGCCTGGATGTAACATAGGGGAGAACAGAAGGAAGGTAATCAGTACCTCAGTATGTGACACTCTGGCTCGACCTCAGTGGGAGACCGTGCAGCAGGAGGATGCTGGAGGCTGTGAGCATCACCATGGACATGCAGCACGCAGTGCAGACTGATGGAGGTGGATTGAGTTAGACTCAGATGCCCAAAGCTGCTTGAATTGCTGACAAGATTTTCCAAAAAGGTGAAGAATCTTGGTAAAGTTTTTAAGAAAAAGAGTCACCTTTCCTCAATTTGCACAGCAGTTAATGTTCAATGTACATTAAACCTCAGTAGAAGATGTCTGTGCATATGTAAAAGGGAGACCCATTCTGTGCTCAGGTGATCATCGGTTGGTCTCCACCCACATGGATACCCAAAGCAACTTTGGAAAGTGGCATGGAATGAGGGAGAAATCTTTTGCATGACTGCCCTGCACATTCTAGGGTAGCCAGCAACTGAAAACATCCCCAAAGTCTCTAAAACTCCCCTTAGGGAACAGTGCCTTTCCTACTGAGAACTGCTCATCTTGATGGGAAAGTAGTCCGAGCCTAGGTCATCTGCACTGTGCATTTACCCAGCTTCCCCGCGCCTGTCCAGGCACAAGGCACAGAGGCAGGATGGATACACTGGAGTCTCCATTCTGTGTTTAGCAGTTTTCCCCCTGGAGTAATTTTGCTTCTCATCACACATCTGTAGACACAAGATACAATAGAAAGAAACAGTAAAGCCAAATTAGGGGGATGTGGGTAGTTACTTTTCAGACTTAAATGTGCAGATGTAATGCTGTAGATAGTTCCTACCTTCGCAGCAGGGAAGTGGCAGTTCTTGGGGATCTGCGCATAGTGGAATTCCACAAAGGTCAGAAGATATGCAGAGTTCCACCCGGGCATCCTCTGCCAGGCAGAGGCCACTGCTGAAGCCCTCAGGGATAAATAACATTCAGCATTGCCAGCACTGCACACAGTGTCATTTAACACATGCACAATACTTAGTAATCCATAGACAACTCAGCATCTTTCTCGTTTACCTTTCACCATGTTCATTGTCTGGTCAAGCTGGTTTCTCTGTCAAGCTCCTGTAGGGCACACCTGTCTAACTTACCTGCTAACCTTGCTGGGCTTATTCAAGTAGATTTTGTGCCCATAGCCAGCTTTGTATTCAGGTGGCAGATGGTTCCTGTTTTCTATACTTAAAGAGTGGGTTTCTTGGGCTTATATGCATCTGGTTTAATGTGAAAACTCCTGGGACCATCCATGTCCCTTTGGTGGCTGACTTCCCTCCTGCTAATTCCACAAGACAGCTCAGAACTTCCTGTCAGCTTTCTACCCACTTGAGGTTCTGGTCTGTTTCTCATTTGGTGGGTAGATAAAAAGAGAAACAACAGAGCACAGCAATGTCTAGAGAAAGCCCCAGACTTGCCGTCAGTGGTAACTTTCAGCCCATTGCCACCTCTACCGTTCAAATTCAGCATACCTTCCCCATTTGAAAGTACAGTACTGCAGAAACATGTTTATGACAGGTAAAACTCACAGGTTAAATGCTTTCTTAGGTTTATATTAACCTTGTTTTCACTTCTGTTCTCTGCTTTTTCCATGCTTCTCATAGGCTTACAGTCAATGTAGATTTATTATAGTAAAGATATAAGTATTTTCTTTTGATGTAAAGTGTTATTAATTTGCCTTATGCTTTCAGCTGACATCAGAGTTGGGCTAAGGTATACTTTCAACCATTGTAGTTGATGGAAGCCAAGAGAATGTTCTCTTTCCTTCTCAATTTTTGACAAAGTTTTCTCAGAAAGAGACGTAGCTCCCTGCCCTGTGATGTTTTTATGTCTGCTTGTGCTTCAGATCTCTTTAGTCAGAATAAGGTTTCTGGTTGGGTTTGTCAGCCTCTGCTTAGGTCCCTAGTCTTTGGATATTCAGGTTTAATGCTTCCTGAAACATTTTACAGTAATTGGAGATTTGGCTTGGGGTTCTTTGACAGGATCCCTTTGATTTGTGGACTGAGACATCAGGCAACCATGACTCATTTGTATGGCTTGTCTCCATCAGAAGTCTTCTTTCCATGGTGGTGAATGTTCTAAGGAATTACTATATAGTGGGGGGAAAAAAGTCACTTTTTTTTAATGCACTTCTTTTTTAGCCAATAAAATAGCCTCCAGCCAGTTGGCTTGATGAGAGATCCATCATACTTGTCCCTTGATCCTCTACTAATCTATTCAAGAAATTAAGTATATTTGCATTAAAATGTCTCCTTGCTCCTGTACTCCATTCTGGGGTGAAGTCCACAGATCAAGGGACAAATTTACTTTCCTTGACTAATGTTTGTATAAGTGGAATTCAGGAATTAAGGAATTTCCTGGTGACTTCTTTAAGGAAGCCAAACTAGATACAGACCAAATGGCTTTCCATACAGTGATGACATATTTTGCCAGATTGTTTAGATAATTTCTCAAGCCTATCTGTTGTTTGCCTGTCCAGGAGGGGATGAGCCATGTTGGAGCCCATTTGCGATTGCTGAGGCTATTGCTGAACCAGGTTGGGCAGGCTGACTGAGCAGACCCTGGGCCTCAGTGGCCCCATCCATCCAGGTCTGCAGACTTTCAGAACTGTAGAAGAGGAAGAGGCATATCTGGTCACCTGGGTCAGGCCGACTAGTCCGCAGGTAGATTCTAAACTCTGAAATGTGCAGAAGCATCCCAGGGAAGTCTTGGGCCGAGTGGTTTAGGAGACTTGGCAACCCGTGAGTGGGGCGGCTTCGGAGTACCAGCACTGACCCAGGAATTCAACTCTGTTGAATTCTCACATCTTCTCTTTTTATATTCTCTGAAAACAATAGTGGGCTTCTTTTAAAATAATAAAAATGTTCTGCAGCTCTTTTCTCCTCAGTTCGATTGATTTCACTTTTTAATCCTGCATTCCCTGAGCACTGTTATCAGAGGCAGAACGTCTCCTGAATTTGGTTCAAAGTATTTTTATTGCTGCGAGCGGACTTTTTCCTGGCTCCCCACATCCCTGATTGATTGCTGTTTCTGAGCACTCAGAGTGAACGTTGCAAATGAGAAGCCATATGGGGTTCTCTCTCAGTATATTTAATTAATGTGCAGAGCCACTGAGGGCCAAAGCATTTTAGTTCCAAGAGGTAGGACGTTAGAAAATGCAGATGGAGGAATTTTTTTTTTTTAATTTAAAGTGCTGCGAACTATATGCTAATAACTCTTAGGGTTGCTCACAATTCCTCTTTGGAGTTTTACTCTTTGAGGTTTAGTTCAAGGAGCCCAGGGAATAATGTGCTTAGAATTACTTTTTTCTCTCATTATCTAAGATTGTGCTTTCTCTGAGGGTAGCCACTAGCCACATGTAGCTATTTAAGTTAATTAATGTTAAATAAAGTAAGAGTTGAGCCCTTCTGTTGCAATACAGTCACATTTCAAGTGTGCAGTAGCCACAGGTGGCGACCGTATTGGACAGTGTAGATCTGAAATATTTCTGTCATCACAGCAAGTTCTATTGGACAGTGCTGGTCCAGAACATAGAAGAGCTCTACCTTTTAGAAACCTGTCTCATGAGAGCTCAAAAGCTCCAACGCCTCCCTCTGACCTCCTTAACCAAATCATCCACCACAGATTCGTTCCTTTTTATGGGGGTGGTTGGACTTTAGAATGAGAGTTTTAGGTATTCAGTAAGAAATCATTGAATTTTCTAATGGTAGCTCAATGATTCAATAAAGGTAGCAAGTGATTAGATACTTATAATAGTAGCAGCTATTTTAGTTGCATACCTGCTATGTTCCAGGGCTTGAGTTTAAATGTTTTACGGTACTAACTCATCCTCATAAGTAACCCCATCAGGTATGGTACTATATTATCCTGATTTTTTAGTTGAAGAAACTGAGGCACGGAGATGTTAAATAACTTGGCCTGGGTCACTCAGCTAATAAGTGGTTGAACTAGTATTTGAACCCAGATGTGTTACTACAGCTGCCTCTTGACCTTCTGTAGATGGCATCGAAATATCCAGAATGGTCCACCTGTAAGGGGAAGAGCAACCTGGTCAGTAAACTATAGAAGATGTGCTAAATAAATGTTCGGTCTGGTTCAGGTTCTTATTAACATTACAGATTCTAAGGAGTTTTCTGTAGCCTGAATAGAGGAAAAATAAAGCAACTCTTCAAAAAGAAGTCATAGCACTTTAGACTACTTGGAAAAGATAACTAATCTAGACCAGGGGGTAGCAAACTGTAGCCCATGGGCCAAATTTGACCTGCTGCCTGTTTTTGTAAATAGAGTTTTATTGGAACAGAGGCACGTATATTTATTTACATATTGTCTATGGCTGCTTCTGCATTATATTTGCAGAGCTGAATTTTTGTAAAGAAAGATCATATGGCCCATAAAGCTTAAAACATTTATTTTCTGTACCTTTACAGAAAAAGTTTGCTGACCCCCGTACTAGATCATATTCTTCAAGCATTCAAGATAATTAATAGTAGTGCATTTCTGAACTTGAGGAATGACCCCAAATTGACAGAAGGGACTGAATAATTCAGTATTTTTATTGCTATTTAACATAAACATGTTCATCTCCTCCTGTGCACCAAGCACATCTAAATTTACCCTGGCACTAAAACTTAGCATACCACCAATCCTCAGATATCTATGTCTGAAACACCCGACTGTGTGCTGTACATGGGTAACTCCCGGTGGGTCCCTTGGTGCTCAGTGCGTCCAGGGCCCTTCTGTTCTCACTTCTCTGTCTCTGTGCCTGCCGTTGTCAGGAGATTTGTGCATACAAAATGTTCACTTAATGCATCTCTTACTTTAAGATCATTGTGGAGTGAACTAAAATAGTATGCAAATATTAAAATTCAACACTCTTCATATTCTACATCCCATTATAGAATTCGAATAAGTTGAAATTCTCCAAAATTTGTTTGCCAGACGTTTCTAAAATAACTTTTTTTTCCTGATTATAAAAGTTAGAAACACAGAAAATGTGGAAGGACAGAACCACAAGAATGGGAGTCCCCCCACCAAACTCCACCACCCAGAGGTAGCTACTGCTAATATTTGAGTGTAATAAATAGTTTTGGAGAAGATTCTGCCACATATGCAAATTCTCCTTTTAACTTAATTTTTTCTGTCACTTAAAATTTATCAGAAAAAAACATTTTTTGTCGATACATAATAGTCCATCATATGAATGTATCATAATTTACTGGACTGTTTCCTTTTTACCAGGCACTTGGGTTATTTCCAACCATTTGCTATTATAAATAAAACATAACGACTGTCTTTGTACATGAATCTCTGTTTCCTGGGTGTGTCCTTAGGATCAGTTTCTCAGAAGTGCAATTACTGAATTGAAGACAGATAACATTTTTGAAGCTTATGAGATGTATCAAAAATAAATATATAAATAACTCTGTCTTAACTTCCTCTCTGGCTCCAAACAGGACTACAGGAGTTCATGTATTCCTACAACAAAGGCTTATTAACATGTGTTAATGTTACACACACTTAATATTAAAACAGAGTAAAATGAATCCTGCAAGTGAACAGGAACACTTTAGGATTGTCTATTTGGTGATCTGATACTTATTTAAGAATTTGATTCTTAGGGAGAGCATGGTTTGAATACCCAGATATTTGCCTACAGATGTTTCTGGGTTTTTTTCCTATAGTGCAGCAGAGTTTTCAAACCCAGGTGGGTGTAAAAATAGCCTCGTAGTATTGGACACCTGAGGCCTTGACACCTGCTGTCCTCTCTCCAGCATGTCCACTCCTAGAAAGCCACATGGCTCATTGTCTTCATTCACATCGTATACAGATGTCGTGATATCAGAGAGGCCTCTCGACTGCCACACCGCTTGCTCTCCCCTTCCCCTGTGTTCCTGCCTGGGTAGCTCCTGCTCACTTTTATCCCTGCTCACGGTTTCATTGTCTCTCCTCGCTGGAGTGTGAACCCAAAGAGGGCAGGATTTCTGTATGTCCTGTCCGTTGTCTGATCTTGTTAATGTTATTCTGCATCTGTAACTCTGACCCTCAGGGTTATATGCATGTTCTAGGTCACTCCGCAGTGATTTATGTCATGGTGTGTCATGAGCTTCCTTACCCCTATGACTACAGTCAGTTTGGGGGCATTGGAGGAGAGCCTCTGGAAGGACCTGTGACATCAGGGGCAATGAGAGCCCTGAGGAAAAAGGACCTGGGCCTCAATGGGTGGGGCTTGGTCATTACCTACCACGTGGGTTGTACGTATGACTCTGAACCCCAGCTCCTGCTGGTGCAACCTCCTTCTGGGTGCCAGGACTTCCCTATGTCACAGAGCAGCAGGCCAGAGTCCCTGCAAAGCCAGAGGGCCAGGTGGGTGCCAAGGTGTGGTTATGTCATTCAGAGGCTAAAGCATTAGATAAAGCACATACTTACAGGGTTTGATTTGGGCACAGGGAAGAAGTAAAGTCAGGGGCACAGTGTTAACACCAGGACCTCCTTTCAGTGCCGATGGAAAACACTGTTACTAAAACATTAGTGATTATGTTTCGGGGGAACTGTCACTTTGTCAACATAGACACCACTGATTGTTAAAAGTTGCTGACGGTGGGCTTTCTATGTTCAGGACAGCTCCCTGCCCTGACGACCAGCCACCTTGTCTCATGGTTTGGAGAATGTAGACACATGGACAGGACACGATGGACTTTCCTTTTCTCTCTCCAGGTCCAGCACATACCGGCCCAAGGGATTTGATGTCACCGTCAAGTACACGCAAGGGAGCTGGACGGGCGTCGTTGGGGAGGACGTCGTCACCATCCCCAAAGGCTTCAACAGTTCTTTTCTTGTCAACGTTGCCACTATTTTTGAGTCAGAGAATTTCTTTTTGCCTGGGATTAAATGGAATGGAATCCTTGGGCTTGCTTATGCCATCCTGGCCAAGGTAAGGCAGACCTGCGGATTTAAGTAAATCAAATAATGGCATGAGACTCTGAAAACCAGTCACTAATAGGGCTGACACATCATGGGTCCAGGCTGTCCCTGGAGACTGTCAGTGAGAATCACATGGTTGAAACAGACCAGTGCTCATGCAATTAATTATGTTTCTAAGCATTTTTAAAACTTAAGGTCAGCAGCACAATTCTTTGAACCTTCCTATGAGATATACTAACAGCATTAACTTTCGGTTTTGGTTTTTGTTTATTTACTTCTATAGCTGAAAAAGTGTTAGCAGAATCTGAATCACATCAATTATGGTGTTTGTTTAGGAGTTTTTACTAGGGTGGGATTAAAAAAAAAAGCACACGTGGTAAATTCATATATTTGCACGTATGATGGAGCGTGGGCATGGGGAGGCATCCTCCAGCGGGCTGGCAGTGCACCCTGCTGCTGTCCCGTCACCCTGGAGACACCTTGAGGAGACACCTGGAACTGGAACACGTCAACTTGAAAGCTGCCCTGGGGATTGCCGGCCACTCCCAGTGGCGATCAGCCAAGGGGACATCGTGGAGCCCATCAGTAAAGAGGCAAAGACAGAATTGGCCGTTCCTTAAGTATTGTACTTGGGGCTGACCTGAAGGATCGTGTTGGTATGCAGGAGGAGGCAGGCAGGCAGGGGATTTTCCACCCAGAGGGTGGCCAGAGGCAGATAGGATTGGACACCAGGGGTGTGCCCTGGGCTCCTGGGGACATGGTAGGTTTGTGTGCACCTGAGAAACGCAGCAGGAGGTCACCTCTCCTGGCTCTGTGACTGGGCGCCACACCCCAGCCTGTCCTAGTTCAGTGTTAGGCTTGCAGCCAGAGCTAAGTGTGGGAGACAAAGGAAGCTGATTGCAGGAACAATGGGCCCCCACCAGCCTGTGACAATCCAGAGAAGAAGGCCTCTTCCCTTTTTGTTCCATTTGTTCTAGCTCAGGTTTATTAGCGAATGGTGTGGGGCAAAGAATGGGCCAGGAGAGCTCCCCAACCCTTTGCTTCCCAAGGAGAATGAGTAACAGTCACCAGGAGCCTGTCAGGAGTCAGCTGAGAATACCATGGGAGCTCAGTTCACTCAACGCTCACCACTGGCCGTGGACCAGGCCTTTGCCAGGCTGTATGCTCCCCATTTAGAGACATGGGGACCGAGGGTCAGAGAGGCTTATACCCCTGAAGTCAAAACACAGAGTCCTCAATGCACCTCTCACTGTCTGCAGAACGAGGACAGGCTCGGGAGCCCCTTTGTCCTCGATACCAGAGGATGAACTTAATATGAGATTGCCAGACTGGTAAAAATTTGCATTCCTGAATGTTTTCACCGACAATGTGACCTTGGGCAAAATGTTTCATCTTTATGTGACTGTTTGGAAATGAAAGATGTGGGTATGATTGATTTTATGCTAATTATTCAGAAGCTGGTAGAGTAAACCTGTACTATCTAGAATTAATAACATGTAAAACTTCTGTGAGAGCAGACTACTTGGGGGTGTTTTCTGATGTGTAGGCTCCACATGACCTTTTTTTCATCTATGAAATTCCACGATTACCAACAATTGGCTTCACCTTCCCTGGGTTTGAGGAGATGGTCACATTGGAGGAAAGAGGACCACAGGATGGTCTGGGCCACTGTCCACAGGTTTCTTGGGAACAGGCTGGCCAAACACTCAGTGGTGGGCATGGTGGCCTGTGGTGGCCCCTGTCAACCCCGAGGGCTTTCCACCAAGGCTGTGGGTCAGACACACCCACGGGGCCTCTCACACTATAGCCACCTGGGCCCGCCGCACACCTGCTCACTCAGGTTCTCATGGGGTTGGTCGTGGACAACTGTATGTTCTCGAGTCCCTAGAGGAATCCCAAGGCACAGCCCTCGTGAAGAATGACTTGACAGGATAATGATCGCTCCTTTACTGCGTGCCAGGCACTGTTCCAAGCTCCTTACACATATCGACCCATTTAAGCCCCAGAACAGCTCTCAGAAGCTGTCACCCATTTTACAGATCAGGAAACAAAGGACCGAGTCACGGGGTCAGCACATGGGGAGCCAGGCTTTCATTGCAGGTGGTGTTTCCTCTCCTCTGTGGCCTCTCAAGAAGGGTGAGACAGACTCACCCCCAGACCCAACCTGTTTCAAGAGGGGACTTTGCCTCACTGTTGACCCAAAGGCAAAGTGTTTCGACAAAGATCACATCTGAGGTTATGTTGAATCCTGCCATAGAAACCTATAGAAGCTGCAGTGGAAAAAAGTAGGAGGCCAAATGTTTGTACGAATGCACTAAACAACGGGAAGGTTTGCATCTAATGGATGAAGGTACTGTGCCCTCAGCCTCCAGGACAGCAGCTTTAGTTCCCGCAGACGGTAAATAATCACTCCATAAGAATGACCATGGTAGTCAGAGGCTACCGACAGCACAGATGCTGAAACAGTAAACTAAGTGTTTATCAGAAACGAACACCTCCTGGTGACTAACCTTAGTATCTCCTGGTGTCAAAGCCCAAGTCTGAACGCGTCAACCACTACCTTCCTCCTCAACCACGAGCACACCTGCCAACCCCAATCTCAACTGTTTGCAGGTCACCCCTCCTCCCTATGAGCCCTTCTGGGGAAATGGGGCATCCTCTGAACACACAGATGCCCACAGAGGGGACCTGGAGCAAGTCAGGTCTGCCGAAAGTTGGCAGTGGGGAATAGCGAGCTTCTCATACTTCAGGAGTAGAGGTTTGTCCCTTTGAGGCTACATTGCTGATAGCCAGAGCTCAGGGGCAGAGCTGAGCTTTGTCCTGGGGTCTGGGGTCTGGGGTGAAGTGTCCTCGTGGGTCCTATCCCTCATCTGTGTGATGAACACTGCAGCTGAGAGAGGCAAATAAAAACGTCAGCAGCAACGGCAGCTCCTGAAAGCTGTTCTCTCCTTATCAGAAATGTCTAAGGTCAAAATCCACCACCAACCTCGGTGACCCACTTCCACAGCTTCTCTCACCGCCTCACCAGGCAGTCGTGGTGATAAATGTGGCAATGTCTTCACAGCCTGTACTGTCTTATTTTTACACCGGAGCTGTACCAAAAGGAAAAATACCAAGTAGCAAGAAGTTCTGTTGGAGGTTTCTGAATTATCACACCTAATCACAAGCTTGTTGATTGTTTAGCCACGTGAAGATTAAAGACCGAGAATATTGTCTATTGTGCCTGGTGTCTACACGGGGTGACCCCTGTCTATACCATGAGTCGTGAAACAGTGTTCCTCTTTTTCACTCTCCTGCAGCCATCAAGTTCTCTGGAGACATTCTTTGATTCCCTCGTGACCCAAGCAAGCATCCCCGACGTTTTCTCCATGCAGATGTGTGGGGCGGGATTGCCCGTAGCTGGATCTGGTACCAACGGAGGTAGTCTTGTGGGTATCTTTTAGTTTTAAAGGGGCAAAAAAATCACAAATTGATGGGACTGTCTTTTCTGTGTTTTAAAAAACCTAATCTGAAATATTAGACATGCAGGCGTGCATAGGTACTATAAAATTTTGATAATTCTTGTTATAGAACCTTTTTAAAATGGATAAAATTAGGTATTACTTTTATTTCTCCTAGTCATCCTGCCATCTAGGAAGATGATTCTCGTTGCTTCTACAAATCCCATTAAAGCTTTTCTTTACCATCTTTTGAAAGGGAACAGCTTTTTGCGGGGAGGGGGGGGACGGGAGGTGAAAGCGAGGAACAGTGGGAGGGGTGGGTGTGGGCCTTACTCTGGGTAAGGGGCAGAGGAGGATGCCTGTGATTTCATGAATTTGGTGGGGAGACAGGAACATCCTTCTCTCCCACACACACATAGCAAAGGTGTTTTCTACTGAAACAGAACCAAGGCCCTCAGCCCTGTGGACGTGCGGCAGCCCAAACTTACCACCGTGTACCCTGCACCCAGACATCTAAAGTAGGAGGTGACAGCAAGAATACACCAGAAGGGCCCCTCCCAGTGGGCACTGCCAGCCCTGTGCTCTCTGACTATGAAAGGCGGGCTCAGCACCCCTGTCCCCAGCTACGTTTCTTTGCTAACAGTACACCTGCTCTTAATACTTTTTCATTCCCTTTTGAGGGGAAAGGGCGGCTGAGGATTTGGGGGGGAATGTTATATGGTTTTGCAAGATGAAGTTTTGATGAGGGAAACTGTTTTGTTCTGCTTTCCTCTTCTCTGACTTCTGAGGACCTAAATCACTCAGTCAGCATGGTTAACTATTTCATTGTATTTCATTGGGGAAAATCTCAATACTGTGAAGGTGGAATTGTATGTACTTTCTCTAGATGAGGGATACCATCAAAGCAACTTGATTAGACTAGGGTATAAAATTGTTTGATCTTTGAATACATGGCCTCAGTATGTTTCTTGTTTAATTTTCAAGCATTTATATTTGCTTCATAGCATCATAATGAAGTAAAAGTATTGACTCCAGTGAAGTTTCACCATACGAGTGCATGCTTCTCTGTGCAGCCTTGGTATGTCTGTGTATTTTTCCTCTCATACCTGTAAATATTTTTCTTCTTAGGTCCTGGGTGGAATTGAACCAAGTTTGTATAAAGGAGACATCTGGTATACCCCTATTAAGGAGGAGTGGTATTATCAGATAGAAATTCTGAAATTGGAAATCGGAGGCCAAAGCCTTAACCTGGACTGCAGAGAGGTGTGTGCACTGTGTTGTGTCGTGTGTATGTTGTGGTTGTCTATCTGTGTGCACCCATGCTTGCATCACTTAAATATTACAGCTGGAACCTTTACATGAAATTAGAAGATACACTTCATTATCAGATAAATCGAGGGTTCGTTGCGTGAAAACAAATAGGGCTTTTTGTATGATAAATTCAAATCAACAAATCCTCCCCACTCGTTCCCCCAAATTGCTTCCTCCCAACCACTCGGCTTAGTAGGGTAAAATTAGCACAAAGCAGTCAGTAAGAAGAGCTCTCTGAGCACACCTTCCACCATGCATCTTGGCCTGGTCGTCCCTGAACTGTTTAAGATGAAATAAGCAGATCTTTGTCACAGGGGAAAGAGGAGAATTAAAAATAAGCAAAATGAAGCTATATATGTGTGTGTGTGTATCTCATCAGCTTTATCCTTCCATTCACAGCTGACTGACTGCACACACACACACACACACCCTGCACACACACAATTCTACTGGAAGAAAAGTTGTATTCTCAAGATGAGCTTGGCTTGATAGTGCTGAAAGGGGACAGGTGTATCTCTCATTAACCACGTTCATACCCTACCACTGCATTTTGGCTTATTCGTAGCATGTTATGACACTCTGATTAGGATGACTTGAGAGAGCTTCAGTCTTCTACAACATCTTTAGAATTGTTTGTAACGACACCCAGCATTTCATTATATGCCTACCTGCTAACCCTTCATTTCATATTAACCATCAAGTTGCCCCATAAATTCCCGTATGCACAGACACTTCTCAGAAACCGAAGATAGTGAAATGATGGTCCCGTTCCGTTGTGATAGTGTTTCAGTTCTAAGTCCACAGATCTATGTTTATGCTCAAAAAGCCTTTATTTGCCATTAAAGAATCCAGTGGTAGAATCAAATGTGAGGGCCTAAAATAAAATACAAACTCTGCATGTGTGCGTGTGCGTGTGTTAGGAGTATAAGCATGTATCTGGAGGTTTGATCTTAGATTCTCTGTCCTCCCTGCCTACCCAGTGTGCCACCCGTCCCACCACAGAACAAACAACAAAGCCCTGCACCCCCACCACACAATTCAGTTTGCTACATGTATTTCATGTATTTATTTCTTTCACATATACAAAAAAATGATAATCTTATGAACATGCTAAGTTATGTTTGAAATTACATTAAATTTGTTTTTAAACAAAATGATTTTATGTTTGAAAAAAACTCTAATAAATTTCTATATTTCATTTTCTTAAAATTCTTAACTCCTACCCTATTTCCTTTTGACCTGATTGGCAAATTTGGTCACATGACTCATGGATTTGCCTGAAAAGCAGGAGGATGGAACTGCCCACACCTCATTCCACTGCCAGGCAGCCCTGCCCAGCCAGACAGTTGTGTCCCCAGTGGCTGCAGTGGCTTGTATGGTGTGGCCCACGAACCTCCATCCTTCTCACTCTGCCACACAGAGAATGTTACCAGTGCGGACAGGGTTGGCAATGCCTGTGTGTGTGTGTGTGTCCGTCTATTATTGAATGTGGCTCTGGGTCCTTTCCAAATGCAAATATGGGATGTCTACTGAAAAATTGTCCTTCCTCTCTTTCTCCATCAGTGAAGTAATAGTTGATTTTGTCCAATTTCTATAAATGGCTTTTAATTTGTCATTTCAACCTCTAAAGGCAAACGCATCTTCCCTCCGCCCTGGAGGTGTGTTGGGGGAGGGGGGAAGTGAGAGGGAGTTCCTTGATGAGGGAATTTGGGCAGCTCCAAGTAAGGAAAAAGCTCTGTTGATTTGAGCCCTGTCATTCCCCTTTCCTGGGCCTCAGTTTCCCTATCTGTGAAGTGAGAATGTTGGGCTAGAAGATTCCTGGTTCCCAGGTTCTGAGAATATGAGATGAGTTATAGCTGCCAACAAGCCGTGGTGGCTGCCTGAATTTGTATGCAGCAGGTGCACAGTGATGGCGGCTGGGGCCATGCATTGCCATGGAGCGCCATTGTCACTCCTGTGCCTTCTCCTCTCCCCCGTTCTAGTATAACGCAGACAAGGCCATCGTGGATAGTGGCACCACGCTGCTGCGCCTGCCCCAGAAGGTGTTTGATGCGGTGGTTGACGCTGTGGCCCGCACATCTCTGGTGAGTCCTCAGAATGCTCGTGAATCTTCGAGAACACTGGGTCATGACCACACACTGGGGTGCAGCGCTGTGCATTCTAATAGTCTCCAACTGTCACTCAGTATACTCTGAAGATTTTGAAGGGTGGTTTTTAAAATCAACTATTACTTATTAAGTTTACAATCTTATTCTTTGATGTTAATTAGCAAATGATGCCTTCATTTTAACTCAAAGGACGCAGATCTGATGTGCAGGTATTTTAGTATTTCAAGTAATGGTCCGTTGGTACAGTATTTTTTTATCTAAGGGAAACTACACTCAGTGATGTAACTATATGGAACTAAACAGTACATCAAGAGTACATGTCCGGCCTTTAAAACAAAACAAGTAAGCCAAAAATCTTATTTCCTTATGGCCTTCATCCAAGCCGTGCTGGTACCTTTACTCCTACTTACGAAAGAGTGTGGTTTTCTTCAAAGACAAAGGTCAATCAGCCAATCTGATAATGATTTTATGGCCGTGCTCTCAAATACAATTGAGGTGATGGTTGAGGACATCACACCTTGGAGACCTGGCCAACGGTATTCCCAGTGTGACACCAACTTCCCAGTCCATTCAGGGCAATAGGGTGGACCCAAAAGCATTGGACAGGACACAGTTTGGACCGTCAAATGAAATTCTTAGTCTAGTTTCCACCACTTATTAGCTGGGCACCTGGGGAGGGTTTCATTTCCCCTGAGCGCCTCCATATTCTCATCTATAGGGTTGTCATGAGGGTTTTGAGTAATGCCTGCTTTCCAGTAAGTGCTCAGCAGAGAGGAGCTTCTGTCTCATGTCCAGCCAGTGCTGCTACTATGTGTTTGGACGTGAGATAAACCTTGCTTTTGGCTTCTTGAGTGTTTTCAAAGCATCTGTCCACTCAAGGCCATCCTCGCAAAATCACCAAAAAGCAAGTGTTTCCTGCACAAAGCCTTGGTCCTGGTACTGGCACGGGGCTGGTGGCCCTTCTACCCTGCTGGGATGGCCAAATTCAAAGAATGGAAGTTCAGGAAGTGCACAGTGGCTGCCTTGTCACAAGTTGTAGCAGAGACATGGGAAGCAAGAGAGAGCTTTTGGTTGTCCTGAACCAAAACTTCAAAAGTCCAGAAGTGCTGTGGAAAGACAAGCAAGCAAATCCAAAGAACGCAGAGGGGATAAGGAAAGGACATGGGCCCTTTTGAACCAGCTGTCTTCCAGGTCCAGCCTGGGGCAGCTGCAGTTGAAAACTAGAGCAAGGTCCCTATTTTTTCTCATGGCTGCCTAATCAGAAAAAATGGCAAGTACATTTTTTTAGTGCCTTAAATTTAAAATTCTTGCTGAAAATCAGACCATACTTAAAATAAGGAGAAATATGCTAATTTCTTAAATAATGGCCTCAGCAGACATTAACATGAGTGTCATTAGATTTAATATTCTGAACTTGTTGTACAACCATCCCAAGGATGAGCTTGAAGTGTCAGTGTGCTTAAATAATGGCCTCAGCAGACATTAACATGAGTGTCATCAGATTTAATATTCTGAACTTGTTGTACAACCATCCCAAGGATGAGCTTGAAGTGTCAGTGTGAGAATCCAGCAATCTGTGGAGCCGCGGACGGGCCTCTGCTCTGGAGCAGACGGGTGGGGCTGAGCTTGTCGCTCCTGAGCTCAGCACAGCACGTGTTCAGCTGCCACTGACTCTGTGCGAAAGCCACGAGGTAGAAGGAACAGATGACAAAATCTGTTTGCCTTATCTAAAATTATCCTCTGATTTCATTCGCGCTGGCGTCAGGAAGGAGGAACCGGGCAGGTTGTTTGTCTTGGGCAGGGGAGCGTAACAAGGAGGCATTGTGCCTCTGTCTCCTTGTATCTGGACCACAGATGTGTTTGCTCTTCATTTCCACCAGGTTCACAAGCCTGCTCTCTTGGCTCAGGTTTTCTTTCTAGTGAAGGAGAGGGCCGCCTTCAGAGAATTAAACACAGTAAAAAATGCAAGGCTCTGTCTCCTGTCGTGGATTGTTTAGATGGAGTTTCAGAAATTAACAGTTTGTAGGTCAACATTTAGAAGTGAGCCTGGGGGGAGTTTTGTGGAGGGCGACGCAGTGTTCAGAGTCATGGAGACTGGGGCTGCATCCCGGCCCATGTGGCTCAGGCCCACGCTTCTCTAGCCGTACAGTCTAATCTAATCGTACTTTAGGATGGCTTCTAACTTACTGAGGCCCACGCTTCTCTAGCCGTACAGTCTAATCTAATCGTACTTTAGGATGGCTTCTAACTTTAAAACTCCAGGCTTGTGGTTAAGGGACACAGCACTGGGGGAGCAAGTCCCACTTCCAGTTCTCAGCTGAGTCACTTGGGCCAGTTCCCTGTCCCCTCGTCACCTGCAAATTGGGGCTAGTCTGCACTGTGGTCAGAGCTGTGAGCTCTGACTGTGGGCCCAGCACCGCAGCTCTTCACCAAATCCAGCAAAACCATGACTCCACCTCTCTTCACCTCATCTGGGAAGGGACTCTTCCCAGGGATCCATGTTTCAATTCGACTTAACTTTTTTAAAAAGCAAAGCTGTATCAACACCAACATTACAAAGTTTACAACTGAATCACACACCACATGGGTGGAAAACGTGGGATGGGCGAACAAGGACACAGCACCTTCTCCAGGTGCATGCCCCAGCAGGGAGGGCTGGTGTCTGCCGCATACACGTTCTGCAGCACGGGACACTCTCCAGCGGCACCGTGATTTTCTGTTCTTATCTTGGCCACATTCTGTCCCATTTTCCCATCTTTCTTCCTGACTGTTCCTGTGGCTTCCACAACACCCTCCTCCCTGGACTTCTCCCTGTCCCCATATGCCTCCTCGCAAGGTCTTTGCAGTCCTTCTCCCTGCACTCCTCTCCTGCACGATCCCAGCCATGGACACATCTTCACCTCCCACTTGTCATCGATGACTCTCAGATTTGTGTGTCAAGCCCAGGCCCTTCCTCTGGAGCATAGAGGACTCAGAGAACCAGTGAGCTACACAGCATGTCCACATGGACACCCAAACACACCCAATGAGCCACAGAGCTCAGGCCTCCAATAAATGAAATGTGGTGACAGTGTCCTGGCCCCCTCCCAGGCCCATCTCACATCCCTGCCCATCCTCAGCTCCAGATCCCATGGCCATAATCTGCGTGGTCCAGCGAGGCAGGTTCCATCAGCATCCTTGGCTGGGCCATCGCCCCCTATCTCCTGCACCCCCCTATCCCCCAATGCTAGCCTGTCCTTCAAGCTCAGCTCCCGTGTTTCCTCCTCAGGGAAGCCACCTTGACAGATATGCTCTCCTCCTCCCAGTCAGGGTCCCTCCTAGCTCTGCCCCAAGTGGGACATCATGCTGGATTGTGGCAAGAGGCACACCAGATACAGTCCTTCCCCCGGGAGCTGGCAGGCTCTGCTCAGGACCCTTCCCTGTAAGCCCATGCACATGGAGTTAACCTGCGGATTCAGCAACTAGTGGACATGGGCAGTGGATACCACTCACCCACTCCCTGAGGAGAGGCACGTGCTGTGTTGTTGGCCACCTTTTTGTCCCTGATGCCACCCGCTTTTCCAATACTTTCATGAGTACTCGTATTTTCTGAGTCTTTCCTGTGAGGCAGGTGTTGGGACCACAGTGGGGCACAGGCCCCAGAGCTCCATCCTCAGAGGACATAGATTCTAGTGCAGGACACAGAAATTAATCACACCAATAAGCATAAATTGCTAACTGCCGCAAGGAGAATGGCCAAGAAGGAGAGGTGCACGGTGGTGTTCTAGTGCTGTGTGGGGGAGTCAGGGAAGGCTTCCTGCACGAGGTGGCATCTGAGACCTGACGGATGAGGAAGATGTTCCAGGAGAGCAGAGCGCCCACGCTGGGCTCTGCACTAGGAGGCAACTCACTGGGCTCACAGAACTCAGAGGGCAGGTAATGCCCAAAAGGGCCCTGAGGGCCACATTTAGGATTTCTCTCTTCTAGGGAACATTGCCCACGACTGTGTGACCTTGGGCAAGTTACCTCACTTCTCTGTGCTTTGGTTTTCTCATCTGTAAGGTAAAAGGGATAGTGTTACTGCAGCGATCGCGGTGTCAGAGGATGAAAGCAATTATTGCCCGGAAGCTCTTTACAGATCCTAATACTAGTAAGTGTTCCCTGTGTCTGAGCAGTTTTAAAAATCCTTCTTTTGCCATCACTGTCACTGTGCCAGGGGACTGAGGCCTTGCTGCTCTGTTCACATCAAACCTTGTTTATCCCCGTGGGTATCTGGCGAGGTGATGAGGAGTGCCCGGAGCTTTAACCTGTGGACGTGCCAGACTAGTCATTGTTTCTCATGTGATCTTGTTTTGTCTAGATTCCAGAATTCTCCGATGGTTTTTGGACTGGGTCCCAGCTGGCATGCTGGACGAATTCCGAAACACCCTGGTCTTACTTCCCTAAAATCTCCATCTACCTGAGAGATGAGAACTCCAGCAGATCGTTCCGTATAACTATCCTGCCTCAGGTATGAACTGGCGTTTCTGCTTTTCTCTTTGTAACATGCAGAAGTCAAAGCACTTCATGTTACACTCCTGTGTGTGTCAGATGTCACACCCGTGGTGGTTACCTGTTGCCGCGTTCGTGCTGTGTTACAGACAAGCCCATTCATCACATCATGAGTGCCTGGTCAGCTGGTGGTTGGCAGGGCCTCGGAGGGCCTCAGCCTGGGCTGGCATTGGGCAGCCTTGCTCCCATGTGGCAGCGAAGTTGATGGAGTGACCGTGCCACCTGCCTGTCTCCATCCAAGGGGCTGACTCACACTGAGGGTTCTGAGAGAGAGAGACACGCAGGGGCTCCTGAAGTCTTGGCCCAGACCTGGCTGCCATCTCTTCCCCAGTGCTGCCCAAGCAAGTCCCAGGCCAGCCCAGGTTCCCAGGGTTGGGGAGTAGACTCCGCTCTCAGCAGCAGGAGCTGCAGAGTCACATATCAAAGTCATGGCTGCAGGGAAAGATGATCTGGGGACATTTTTGTAATGCCTACCATTACAATAACACCATTCTAAACATTTTTCCTGTTTATATGTAAATAAGGAATGAAACTGGATTGTCAGAGATGCAGGCATCATTATTTTTTTTTCCCATACTTCCAGTAACCAGTGACTCCTCTTCATCCTAAGCTTCTTACCGTGTAGACCAGGTGCCACCTCCCTGGGTCCCGTCTCTTGCCTTGTCGTCCTCCTCTCCCCTCAGCAGCCCCACGTGTCTGCCTCTCGCTGCCACCTCCATGACATCAGGGTGCTGTCCCTGCCTCCAAAGCTCCCCCCACTCACCTTTTAAAAACGTTGTCAGATTAATCTCACTAGCCCACAGCTGTCATCCCAACCTCCCTGTGCATCCTGCAATTTAAATACTGGTGCTCATTCCCTGGCGTGGCTTCTCGTGACCTCCCTGCCAGACCCATCCCAGTTCTCCACCTGCTTCCTGCTGTACCCTGACCCTCCACCTGGCGGTCTCTGTCCTTCAGAGCGTCTTGCCTGCCACGTTTCCTATCCTATGTCCCACCAAGCCCCTGGCTGAAATGCCCTCTCCTCCTTACTCCATCTGTGTATCCAAATTCTTCTCGTCCTTTCACACCCAACTCAAACAGCCTCTGCTTTTGTTGAAGCTTAGCCGAGCAGAACAGCCCTCTTGTGAGCTCGCCCTTCAGACTCAGCATGCATATTTTCTAGGCTACTCATCTGGCGTGGAATCGTATCTTAAGGGTATTTTTTATGCTGTTGCCTTTTTCATTTGACTTTCGTTTTCTTAAAAACAACAACAGTAACTTATTTTTCTTCTTCAATTAATTATTACTTCCTTGAAGATGAGAAAATTGAGTTTTAAAGATCGTCGCTCTCTCCGTAATGTCATCAAGCAGTGGAGGAATGGGGCGTGGTAACTGTGTGCGAAATGGACACATCAAAGGGTCTTTGTTGCAATTTGATGAATTTGGGATGAAGGGGTTGGGATTAAGAGGAAGAGAAAGAGGAATAATTTCAGAAAAAAAGGAAAAATGATAATACTGCCTTTTCCCCTTTTTCAACTTCATGTGTGGGGTGTGCACTGCAGAAATAGAGAGATTTGGGGGAAAGGACTGAAGGCTTCAGGAGAAGTACAGACCAGCAAGGGACACACATGCTGGGCATGAGAGGCTTGAGTTACGTTCTCAGCACTGCCCTTGACTCGCCTATGACTGAGCAGATCGCTCAGCCTTTCTGTGTCTGTCTCTTTAACTGTAAAGGAGAAATAATAATACATGCCAAAGACAATTTGAGAAAAACACAATATCCTTGGATGAACGGTACCACACAGAGTGATGTTAGAAGGATACATTTTCAGCATCTTTAAAATAATGTACTCTTTATGATTAAATTTTGGTCAAACAGCAAAATATGGACATTATTTTCCCAACGTGGTTTGTAATTAACATCGAAACCCAGCTCGAGGACGAAGGCAAGCGTATACTCAGTAACTGGCGTGGGGGCTGCTTGGCAGAGCTGGGGACTCATACGAAGTGAGAGGAAAGGGCAGGGATTCAGGGAAAAATCTCCCTGTCCTGGGTAGGTGGTAACCCTGAATTCTCCCTGGGGATCGTCAGCTGCTTTTAGGAACGAGCTGCACCAGGCGAGGGCGGGAATGTAATGAGGGAGGTTTGGGAGCATTTTGTTTCATTTGCATGTGTCTGCATAAGCACTCATTATTACTCTCACTTACGAGACGGTAGATATTTTTCAGTTGATTTTGATGTGTTCACGTTTTGGATTTTTTAAAATCTGCTTTCCCTGCTGTTTTCCTGGTTTCTTACCCAGCACCACCCTTCCATTCTTTTCCATTGCCTTGCCGAGAGAGGACTTGGATAGGGAGTTGGAAAGGTCTCCTGCCACGAACCCCCTGAGCCCCACACAACACACCATCGGGGTGGCACTGGGGGTCCTTTCCTGGCAGCAAGGCTCTGCTCGACCAGCCCAGTCCCTGACATTGGGAGCAGTCCTGAGCCCTCCTGTCACCAAAGTTTTAGGACGGCGCCCCTACCTGGGACCTTTCCAGCATCAGCAGTAGTAGGTGGGCACATGATCATGAGTGCAGAAGACAGTCAAGTCCAAGGTAGTGCTCTTAAATTTTGTCTGAAACAACACTATTTTCCAGAAACACATGGACTGGATCCTATTTGGCCTGTTAAAAAGCAGCCCCAGCCCATAGGAAAAATCTGGTGTGTTTTTTTCTCCCCGCCCCCCCCCCGCCCACATAACCTTAAAAATGTAAATACCTTCAGTCTAAATACTGCTGATTTGTCTATTCATGCTATTTTAATTTAAGGCAGACCATTTATTCTGAGATCCAGCAAGAATAAAACTTCTCCAACATGTTACAGTCTGGAATTTTTAGTCAACTGGAACACACACAGAAAGGAGAAGCTAAAAGATACAGTTCGCATTGTATTTGGTAACTTTGCATCAATCTCATCAGTTGTGTTATATTTGATAATTAATTGTTTGGGTTTTATTATGGAATTAGTTCATTCAAAGGTTGTATGTATGTGTGTCTGTACATACCTAGGGCCTACACGGGAAATCTTAAATGAAAATGTTTTGGTGGCATCTAAGTATGTCCCCCACCATTTCTCTAATTTAAGTCTATCTCCATGAGAAGTTGTCTATTTCATGTAACACCGACCAAGCTTAGCATAGGTCATTCAACACATATTTGTTGAGGCCCTAGTATGTGCGTAGGTGCCAAGAGTATAGTGAGGAACTGAAGGAGTCTTGCCTTGAGGCAGGGTTTGCAGACAGACCATTGCAGTCATAATTGCAGAGACAGTGCCCTGGACACAGCAGCTGCTTGGTGTCCAGCTGTCAGTGACTCTGGGGACTGCTGGAGATGCATCTGTGCTGGCCTCCCTTCCGTGTTCCCTGCACACGGGAAGTGCAGTAAGGTTCATCTTCCTCGTGTGTCAGCTGCGTCTTATACATTTCCTCCAGCACAACTTCGGGGTCCAGCTGTCAGTGACTCTGGGGACTGCTGGAGATGCATCTGTGCTGGCCTCCCTTCCGTGTTCCCTGCACACGGGAAGTGCAGTGAGGTTCATCTTCCTCGTGTGTCAGCTGCGTCTTATACATTTCCTCCAGCACAACTTCGGGGTTCCTCTTCTGTTCAAGTTTTAAGTTGTGCTCTCAGGCTTTCTAACCCTAATGACCAGCGCTCTACCCCACTGTTGTAATGTTCACTTTGCCTCCTGCTTGGCATCCGCTCCTCCGGAATCTTCAGAGGCAGCCCTCCCTGCTGGCTTCCTTCCAGTCTTTTCTGTGCCTGCAAAGTCAACAGCACCCCAGCCCCTCAGCCTCCCTTTAGCCAGAGGACTTTCTGTACACGGGTGAGTCTCTTTCCTCCAAGGCTTGCTTTTTGCCTTTGCCCTTTAAAGCTAATCCTACAAGAAGGTCCTTTTTCTTGCTCATTTTTTACTTTATTGCTTTCTTTTTTTCCCCAAATATGTGACATTTTCTCTGACTAACCCACTCTACTCTCTAATTGCCTACGTTTGAATACTTTGCTCATAAAAACAAAGGGCTTGTTATTACTGATATAACATTGATTTTCTCATTGACTGTTTAAGTTTTGACTCATTTCCTCACGCGCTCTTGGCTGCAGGATCTTGAGGGCCATGTCTTGTGTTTGTTTAACACTGCACAGCACCTGTAGGAAGCAGGCCTCACATACGACAGGGCTTCTCACCTGTTAGTGCTGTGTCTTTTCTCTTATCATGATCCCTTCTCTCCCTTTTTACTGAGGAAATCATCCTGCTCCTGTCCTGCTGTCTACTTTTAAAATTCTCTTTGCCAAAGGAGAACGTGATCGCTTTGGAAAGATGGGATCCTGGGGCCAGCTGGGAGCCAGTGCAATAGATCACGAGACAAGAGGTCAGTGTGACCTGGGCAGGGTGGTGGCACTGGTGATTAGATTCAGATTCCATTTCAAAGGAAGGCCCTCAGGCTCTGGTTATGGTCAATGTAGGGTAAGAAATAAAAAAGACTGACCCAGTACTTTAAAGCCCGAATAATTGGGTGAGTCATGGACTTAACGAAACAGAAAACCTTGGGAGAAGAGCCGATATGGGGCGACTCTTCAGAGCTCGGGTCTTGAAGTGTTACTGCTGAGATGCCAGCTGTGAGCTGAGCAGGCAGGCGGATATAGGAGGTCGGCAGAGACAGCAGAGGTCCCAGCTGGGGGTGAGATTTGAGAGTCTCCGCATAGAGCACAGCAGGTGGAGTCAGGGCTGTGGGACAAGATGGGTCACGCAGGGAGGCCAGAGCACGGAGGGCTCAGATGCTTACAGGTGAAAAGGGTGAAGCAAATCCAGTACAGGTGCCTGAGAAGGAAGAAGAGGGTGCCCCTCTCAGAGGCAGAGCAAAGAAAGAGTTTCAAAGTGGAGGAGTCATCAGCCCATTGCCATTACCAATGGACGGGCCTGTTGGAGCACATGCCACTTCGTAGTTACGCACACGGCTCCCCATACATGAGCAGCTTCAAGGGGCAGGGACCATGTGTTATGCATCATCATATGGCTGGGATAGGGGACAATGTCTGAGCCACATTAAGTACTCAACAGTAACTTATGGACAGAGGCATGGATGGACAGATGGACAGTGTATCAGGGTTCTTCAGAGAGACAGAGCCAATAGAACATGTATATAAATATATGAGAGGGAATTTATTAGGGGAATTGGCTCACACGATTGTGAAGGCTGAGGAGTCCCATAAAAGGCCGTCTGCAACCTGGATGCTGGTAGTGTGGCTCAGTCCAAGTCTGGAAGCCTCAGAGCCAGGGAAACCAATGATGTGATTCTCAGTCCAAGGCCAAAGGCCTGAGAGCCTGGAGGTGCCACTGGTGAGAGTCCTGAAACCCAAAAGCTGAAAAGCCTGGACTTCTGATGTCCATGGACAGAAGAGAAGAGTGTATCCGAGCTCCAGCAGATAGAGCGACATTTGCCTTTTCCTCTTTTTTGTTCTGTCTGGGCCCCCAGCAGATTGGATGTTTCCCGCCCACACTGAGGGAGGTTCTTTCCCACCCAGTCCACTCAGGCTCACATGCTGATCTCCTCTGGACACATCCTCACAGACACACCCCCAAATAATGTTCTACCAGGTTTCTAGGTATTCCTTAATCCAGTCAAGTTGACACCTAGAATTAACCATCACAGGTGGACATCTTCTGCATGTGTGCACCTGCATATAGTTACAGGTGGCATATATGTGTGTTGTTATGTTTCTGACACTCTGTAATGATTATCACTATGCTTTTGAGCTTCTTGTCCCCTGGGTAGCAGGGACGACATCCTCATCTTTCTTTCTCTGTAGCACCCCCAGCACCTTGGAGCATCCTGAGCAAGCTAGTGACCTCAGTAGTTTTTGGTGTTACCTGATTCACGCTTTTTCTCGTTTGCATGCTCTCTCCTCTTCAACAAACAGCTCTACATTCAGCCCATGATGGGAGCAGGCCTGAATTATGAGTGTTACCGATTCGGCATCTCTCCTTCCACGAATGCGCTGGTGATCGGAGCAACGGTGATGGAGGGCTTCTATGTCATCTTTGACAGAGCACGGAAGAGGGTGGGCTTTGCGGCAAGCCCCTGTGCAGGTAAGCCACTCTCGCATTGAACAGAGCCCTAACAAGGGTGCTTGATGTAAATTTACGATCTTGGACACAATTCTGGATGACAAGTCCATTGCCGTTGAATTGTTTCAGGCCTATCATCAGTGATCAAAATCTTATCAGTAAAATGGGTTATGGGGTTGCTGAGAAGATTAAATGATATAATCCCTGTACAACTTTTATTCCAGCACTTGGCACATGGCAAATGCTCCATAAATGTTCGTCATTATAGTTAACTCTCCTGTTATACTGAAAGCGGTATCCCATACCAGAAATAAAAATACTCTGTAGGGCCTTGTAGTTAAGTCAAAATGAATAAAGAAAATTTATATATAAACTGTGTATATATATATATGTGTGTATATATATATATATCTTTTCCTCTTTAAGAAATAAGAAGTAAATGCCGTGTGTATATATATATATCTTTTCCTCTTTAAGAAATAAGAAGTAAATGCCTATCCTTGCTCTTTCTTGAAATCTATGTGTGTATATATATATATATCTTTTCCTCTTTAAGAAATAAGAAGTAAATGCCTATCCTTGCTCTTTCTTGAAATCTTGAAATAGTAAGACCAGCAAGCCCATTTTTCTCGCAGAACTCCTTTGAAGGGGGCCATAAGGGTGACACGCCACCATTACTCCACAGTCTCACTTGAAGGTTGGGCAGGTCTTCAGAGAAACCAGAAGAGTGCAAGAAAGTTGACAGGATGGTTAAACCCCTTATGCTTGAAAATGTCTTCAGATTTAACAGTTTGCTTGAAAGGGAGTGCTCCCCAGCACGTGATTTAATGGACTGGGTACTTCAGACTAATAGTCCCCCCTAGCAAGGAAGAGGCAAATCACAGAAGTGGACGTGAGAGTGGATGCTAGAGAGTCGTGGAGGAAGAGTCAGCCTCGGGGGAGTGGCCTGCAGGAGAGCAGCAGCGTTTCCAAGTAAGATTTCAGAGGACCCAGAGAACGTGGGTACATTGGATTTGGAGTCAGGAATGGACTGAAACCCCAAAGCCATGCTGGTACATACTAAGGAAGAGAAAAATTAAAATGTGCAGTCAAAAAAGAACTGATGACAGGAGGTGGAACAGGAGAAAATTGGGGGGACGTAGTAAAATACAAGATTACCATGTGGTAGAAGGAAGGGGAATATGAATTGGATGGAAAGAAAGCTTGCAACGTTAGATATCATTGTAGGACAGGTAGGACCCTGCACTGGCTTTCTGTGAATCCAAACTCAGACCTTCCGTCTGCTCTCGGTGCAGGAGCACTGCAGAGGTGAGGGCGTGCAGGCAGCATGCCCCGAGGTCACAGCTCAGTTGTTCAGGGGGGGAGAGAGTTCAGTTACTCTTTTTTAATACCTAAAACATGGTGTTAAAACAGGAATTCTGGTAAATAAAGCAGATAAGGGATGCTTCATATTATTGCCTTAACACACTGGCATTTCTGAAAAGAAAAGTAATAATTTGGAGAACGGATGAAGATAAATATTAGAAGGAAAAATTACATCTGGAATGTTATGCCAATTCATATTCTGTTTAAATAAAATCACCCAACCCAGTATACATAGATGATAGGTTGAGATATATCCCCTTAAATATCAGTGCAGATTTATCC